GGGTAGGAGGTATAAAATGCTAAAAGTGGAGGGACTAAGCTGCAAAATTCACCTATTAAACCTCCTAGTGATATGCGTTAATGGGTAATGAGGCTTTAGGATGCCCGAACATTTTTTCCTTGGTTTTTACGTGAAACCGATAATGCATCCCACTCAATCGTTATGGGTTATGGAGGGAGAGTTGATCAGTAGGAGGAAGAAGATAATAACGATGAGCGAGCGAGAGAGAGGTAGTGATAGAATAGAGAGATTACAAGAGAGAGAGAGGGAGAGAGAGAGAGAGAGAGAGAGAGAGAGAGAGAAAGAAATAAACCCAATGTTCTAGTATTTGGCTTCTGCGTGATCAACCAGTGGAAAGAAAGGAATAAGAAGAATCGAGCGTGAAGTTGGAAGATGCGGGAAAAGGACTAGTGAGGCAAGAGAAAGGGAGAGCTCGATGGGTTTTGCTTGGGATTGTTCAATTGGTTCAATTTTGTCTAGAAATTGATAATCCATTGGTAAATTTTTTTCCTTCTTCCTTGTGTGTTCATGGTTCAATTGGTAGTGAATTGGTAGAAGTTACGAAGTCAATTGCTTTCCTTTTAGTGTCAAAAGTTTTGTGTTCTTTCACACCAATTCATGTGGTTTATTGTGTATGTCATTTCCTGCATAAAAGACCATGTTTTAAACCATTCACAAGGTTCTCAAAATAGCCCAAGTGTCTTGATATGTGGCTTAAAGGTGGAGAAAACCTAAACCCTAATTGTGTTTTCTCTTATTAGTGTCATAATTTCATTTTTCCCTTTAAAAGCAATGTACTTTTGGTCATGGTTTGAAGTTGGAGTTATCTTTTGACTCAATGAAGTGTTGCTACTGTTAATAGCTTAATATAGAGCTTGGGGTCATTTTTATAATGACTTAATGGGTTAAGATGTCATTTAACTCTTACAAGTTAAAGTTGGGAAATAATATGAAATTACTTATTCTGCTCCTGTTTTATAAAAATCTAGAAAAATCACAGAAGGTCGGATTTAGGATCTTTCAATCCCTAAATTTCAGGTTTTGAGTCTAGTATGTTTCTGATTTTTCTCTTGACCTGGATGGTAGTTCTAACTGGGGTCAAAATCGTCATTTTTACTGACTAGTTAGAAATTAGTTTCATCGATATCCCATTTTGTAAAGCCTATAGTAAATTTTAGAAAAATTGCATCGGCCTGTACAAGTATTCCTTTGAAAGCTAAAAGACTTAACTATTGGAATATGGAAAAATATTATAACTTTTTTAGGCTTTGATGGTGTTAAAGTGGCTTTGATCAGACCGTTGTTTCGGGTCAAAATCTAGAAATTAAATCTAGAAGTTTGTCTATATGGTTAGGGTATAGAATAGCCATTTTTAATCTTGATTACTGGTATAGGAGTGTTTCAAGGCGACTTGGTGTGATTGAGTTTATCTATATGGTTAGGGTATAAAATATCCATTTTTAATCTTGATTACTGTTATAGGAGTGTTGCAAGGCGACTTGGTGTGATTGAGTTTCCGAGCTGCAGTTGGGGGGTTACTTTATACTCGAGGCGAGTTAGTAGTTTTCCTCACTAAATATGCATAAGTCGAAAAGTACATTTCATATACGGATCGTTGATTCATTTTATGTCTAAATTATCCATTGTTTTGTATTTAAATATGATGTATTAATTTGATATGATTGTTTGTTAGTTTCCATGCTGAGGGTCTAAATTGATATTTGACTCCATTATGATGATTATGATGTTTATGTATGGTAGCATAAATTTGATTGAAATGATGATAGTTTGCTATGCTTTGGTGATATGTTGATGAACTTGGTGAATCCTGATGATATTGATTGACTTAATGAAATTGCATGCTTAATATGATGATTTGTTGACTTTTACGAAGCGTTGTGTGGTGGGTTAGGTAGTTTATGACATTTGCCTTAAACCCTATCTAGATACTTTTTGTGACATGCTAGGTTGAAAGAGGACCTATAGGAAAGAGATTAATCCATTGAGGTGTAAGTCACCCAGTCTATCTAGAAGATCCTGCGATACATGGTCCACGTACACTATCACTACACTGTTCGTGGACTGTAGTGGTGTGGTCCTACTAAGGAGGAAAAGTACAAAAATCGTGGTGGATTAGGAGGTATTATGTATGTATAACATCCTTGGTACCAAATCCTAAACCACGCCGCCAAATACTTGTGTTTCATATAGTCAGAGTAGCAAAAAGGGCGTCTAGGGTTGGTGTTTCGAGTGGAAGTCATGAGCCACTTAGATCATTCAACAATGTGGGAACATGAGTAGTGAAGTCGGTAATTCCCTTAGGATAGGATGTACGGAGAGACTCATGACTATAATAGGATGCCTTTGGTGATATGTGTTGCTTTTGGTGATACGTTGTGCTTTTGGTGATATATATGATGCTTTTGGTGATATCTGTTTCTTTTGGTGATATGCGCTTCTTTAGGTGATATGTGATGCTTTTGGTGGTATTTGTTTCCTTTCGTAATATGTCATGCTTTTGGTGATATATGTTGCTTTTAGTGATATGTTATGCTTTTGTGGATACGTGATGAATTTGTTGTTATATGTGAGTATGTGGTATTTGTTGCTCAATGTTTTTTTTATTTTTTTGTAAATTGAATTGTTGACCCGTTTGGAAATTGTACATTTCCCTATGACTATATGCAACTTTTATTAACTCACTCAGCAGGGGCTGACACTTGTTTCTTGTACTTTATGCCTGCCTTTGGCTCGGTACAGGTAGGTTCGGAACGTGAATTGGTGAGGTTGGGAGCATTTACCTTTGGGTAGTACATTTTTATTTAGACGATACAACTTCGAAATGTTTTGTTTGTTACTTTTGTTTAATAATGTTTTTCTTAAACTTAAACGATTTTAATTGAGATGTTTTTGAAAGATGGTAACGTGTGGTTTGTTTTAAATATGAATTAATAAAAGACTTCCGTTGCATTTTTTGTTAAAAATGTGCTAATTAAAATGAAATTTTGTGGCGTAAAAATCATGACGTTACAAGTTGATATCAGGGCCATGTTGTGAGTGAACTGGTTACAGAGGCCGATATTCAAACTAATAGTGTAGACCGGCTCAAATAGGTGCTTTAGACTTTTAAGGGGGTAGGGTGTGTGTTGAGAATTAATTCGACTTTTAGATTTAGGTTCTTTTACATTTATCGTATCTAATATTTTCCTTTTAACTATTTTAAAAAATATACGTTTGAATTTTTTACAACTTTATTTGATACTTTACTTTAGATTTTAAAATTTACATGAAAATTGTAATTTATTTGATATATTAATTTTGGTTATGCATTTAACACTATATTGAAGTCAAAATTTAATTATATCATATTGATAATTTAGGGAGTCTTCCATTTATGGTAATTTTTATAATTAACAACATATAAATTAATAAATTAAGTATATTATATGGAAATATGAATAGTTGAATGTTTCAAATGGATGTGGTGAAAGGAAAAATGATTCATTTATAGTATAGTACTCGACGAATCCTTGCGCATTGCGCAAAAATATATTTATATAGTTTTTTAAAGGCAAAGACACACATCCACACAACTATTTAATCATGCTCCTAATTCTACAAATTGTGATTTAATATTTATACATGAAAAAACAATGTTAATAAATGTATATCAAATATATATTGATTTCTATATATAATGAATAACAAATAGTATAAAAAAATAAATACTTAAACTTTTGATGATTTTATATACTGTTTTAAGTTGTGTAAATTGTATATAAAATCTATGTTGATTTATTTATTTAACCAATAACAAATATGTAAAAAAAAACATAAATACTACAACTTTTAATAACATAAAAATACTATAATATCTAGTATAACATCTGTAACAAAAAAAAACATATTAAACACTTATAAATCATACAAAAATATAGAAATCACATATGTTTTATATATAGAAACCTTATTGTTCCAAGAAAAATCTGCATCGTAATAACCATGATGCGACAAAACTCTTTATTTTTTTTTTCAAATCTTCATATTTTAATCACAAATATCTTAAAAACCCGTGATTTTTTGTGAGGAAACTTATTTATATATGGATACAATGTATATAAATGAGAGGAAAATAAAAAGTCACTACTATTTATTAACCATAAGTTAAGAAAACCTTTTGAGTTGTATTGATTGATAAATTTAAATTTGAAATTATAAGTATACAAAAATTAGAAAACGCTTTTTGTTGTTGTGAGAATTTCAAATTAATTTGATTTAAGTAATTTCTCGTGTTGCGCACAATAGCATTATATATATATATATATATATATATATATATATATATATATATATATATATATATATATATGGGGCTAAGTTATAATGTGGATCACATTTACTGTGTGGTCGTAAGGATAATTCTGGACCAATAGATGAAAACAATTTAATGACTACGATCTGAAGGTTTATGTTATTACAATGGAATACCATGTACAATATAATCACATAAATTTAATTGTAAGGGTAGTTTAGTCAACTAAACTAATTTAAAAAAGAAATTTTCGAATTTTAAAATATAATTAATACTCTTAGATTTTAAAATCTGACTTTCAAATTAAAGTTCTTAGTTTCGGATATTCCGTCAGAATATGTTTATGAGTATCGTGTGTATTCTTATAGAATATGCTTATGAATATGAAATCAATTTTTACTTCTTGAAAAATCTATTCTTGGTAGAACGTAATATATGTAAACATTTTTTAAACTAATAGCATATCAAATAATTATATTCTATGAACCGGTCTACATCAAAAAAACTAAAAAAATCATAAAAAGGTCAACCATTTCTATTAAGCATTCTTGAAGAATAAGATACAAAAAAACATTATTAAAGTAACATTCATAAACAAAAAATAAGATACATTGACATTCAAATGTCATTCTTGAAGAATAACATCATTCTTGAACTATCATAATTTGATCTATTTTAAAAGAATATGTGTATAATATATTCTGAGAGAATATGTTGATGCATTCTGAAAGAATATGTTAATAATGTAATCCTAGTCTTTAAAATCCCTTATTCCAAACTTGCAATTCCAATTCCAACGCTGAAACCATTCCGATACACCTGATTCACATTCAAAAAAATAATAGATTTCATTTTAAGGTATATTAAAACATAAAGATCATGCATAAACCTCAAAGAAAATATACAATTTCTATCGTAGGGATGCATCTTTTGTTCCTGATTAGCAAAGTAGCCTTATCAATTTCATTAAAAATTATGGCCTTTGTCATTCCTTTCAGCTTCCGATACCTACAGAAAGCACATAAAACTAAATTTATTCCAATAAGTAGTCCACTTAAAATATGGATTCCTTTTATAGTTTTGCTCTTGAATATTCTTGTTTTAATGAATATTTTTTCCGTAAATTCATATGGTATTTAACAAATTTGAAGGCGTATGAGTGGTCGCAATGTCCATGAAAACAATATTCAAATCACGACATCTCGTATCCATCTAAACACAGTTTTTATCTCCAAACTTCAAACAATTCATAAATTTAACAAAATAATGCAAATAAAACATTTAACCATTAAAACACACAAAATTAAAAGTTAAACAATCAACAATAAAGCATTGAAATTACCCACGTGAAGAGCATTTAACCACTAAAATTATTTCCTTGATTTACAGCACCACAAATAAATGTATAATGTGTCTAGAAAATTATTGATTAAACTTACTTGACACTTAAGATCGAAGAGGATATGAGTGTAAGTACTAGACAAGCCGTTGGTTGATTGTTCTTCGTAAAATTGTGTTCATCGCACAAAACCTTTGACATTAGAGTTTCGTTGAAGAGGACAACGGCTTTCTTCACGACGACAACGACAGTAAAGGTTTTAGGAGTGGTGGCGGAGATTATTAGGGATTGACGAGCGATGCAATTTAAAGGGATTCATCCATGATTTAAGGGATTTAATTTTGGTTATTATTTAATTTATATGTAATATTACTTATCTACCCTTATTTAATTATTTAATTATTTATTTTTTTTCTACAATCTAATTGGTTCCTACGACCACACAATAATTAGCGATCCACATATGAACCTAGCTCTCTCTCTCTCTCTATATATATATATATATATATATATATATATATATATATATATATTATATATATATATATATATATATACACACACACACTATCAAAATAATCATATCACTATTATTAACTTTGAAATAATTATATGTATACGAAGTTGATATAAACACTCATTAGAGCATGTTTGCTGCCTTTTAAGGAATACAATAAAAAACTATTAATAACATTAAACTAATTATGAACGAAACTTTGTCAAGTTTGTAAACTTCTCATTTTAAGCCACTTCATATAAGATTTGTACAACTTGTTATAACAATTGAATTGAAGTTATGCTTTTATGATACAAATTTTGGAACATATCAATATACTTAACATGTCTTGCTTCAATCGATTACATTATACACTCCAAACAACATTTTATAAATGTACAACTGTAAATATAAAATGAATAAAAAATTAAGAAAAATCAAAGCATATTGAAATATTTTAGAACAAAATTGAAAAGATAAAAACAAATAGGCTAATGATGATGTTCTCACATGTAACTTCAAAAATTGCAAACCACAACTCGAATTGTACACTAGTATTGGAAAAAAAAATCTAACACAATCAGACTATGAGTAAAAAATGATACATTTATCAACAAACTTGACTTGTATAGTTTTTTTAGGCACTCTATCACTGCTAATATGTTTTGAAAGAATTATGCCTATTGATATTTTTATTTTCATTTTCTTATGACATCATTATTACATGTAAGAGTTTATATAACATGTATGGTCTTTAATATTAAATCAATTACTTATAATTATTAATAGACATTTGAAAAATCATTTGAGAATATGAAAGGACAAAGGAGTTTCAAATTAATGTGGTGCTTAGAAAAATGATTATATTATAAGATACTATACGAATACCCGCGCGTTGCGAAGAATACAACAATATATTTGAAATCTTTACAAATATATATTTTTTAAATATATCAATGACGTTATTGTTAACTCATATATGATAAATCTTATAATAAGTTGGTATAAACATTATTTGTTTTGATTTATATGATAATATAGACATCTTTTAACATTCTATAATTTAAATTGTCTCAATGGCCTCTACCCGCGGGTTACTCATGAATAAAATTAAATATAATATGTGGTTTAATGATATTTATAGTTGTTATGATTAATTAACTTTAAAAAGTTTATTTGCTTAAGATTTTAATTTCTATCATTGTAATTATTTAAAAATCAAACATTGTTTTTGTTTTTAAAGATAACAATATAACTTTTATATATAATTTTACTTTTAACTATTGTTGTTATTAGTTATTTAAAATATCGTATTTGGAAACTCTTAATTATTTTAATTTGGTTTCAGAAATTTAACTTTTTTAAAATTTATTTGATTAATATTGTTAGTTTATTTGTTTGTAACTATTTAAGACAACAAACATTGTTTTTGTTTATAAAGATAACATTTTAATTTTTTATATAATATTACTTTTAACTATTATTATTGTAAGTTATTTTTAAGCTACTTATTTGAAAATTTTTAATGATTATAAAATATAGTTTCATGGGTTTTTTTTGTTAATTTAGGATTACAATTTAGGTTTAACACTATAATTTATAACTTTTAGCTATTTATAAAAAAATTCTCATGATTTTTTTCAAATTTAACTGAAACTTGTATTTAAGTTAACTGTTTAACATTATATTGAAATTAATAATTTAACTATTTTGCATAAAATCATTAATTATACAAAAGTTGTAACTTTAAAATGATAATTGCTCACATACGACAACATATATAAACTAATAAGTGAACGATAATATGTTAAAAAGTTAAAGTCATAATTTTATAAATGGAAGTAAAATATGATATTTTAATATTGTAGTTTAGTTGATTTATGATTATAATTTAATTTTCTTTATTAATTTAACATTATTAACCAATTTATAATAATTATTAGAAAGAAGTTGAAAAGTCATTGAGGTTTCAAATGCATGTGGTGCAAGTAAAAATGCTTCTTTGATAAGTATACTAGGCGAATCCCCGAGCGTTGCACGAGAATAGAATTATATAGTTAAACTAATAACTTTTACCAAATTATTATTTAATATTTCTACTTTGAAACAAAATGTTAGTAGTAAAGCAAACATATAGTTAACATATTAGTTTTATTAAACATTATAGTTTAATTTTAAGTCATTGTGATATATACAATTATTTGATAATTTTATAAACCGTTTAAAATTGTGTAAATTATATATCAAATGAATGATAATATAACGTGTAACAAAACGTATGAACAAAAATATGAACTGCAACTTTTAGTAACATAAAAATAGAAAAAACATCTATTATAACATTTGTATTAAAAAGATATATATACAACAAATAATAAAAAATATGAAAATAAACACTATAACTTTTAATAACATAAAAACACCAAAATATATATTATAACATTTATATTAACTCTTCATATTTAAATCACAAATCTCTTCAAATACATTAATGTTTTTAATGAGCAAAACTTTACAACCTTATAAAAGAAAGAAAATAAAAAGTTATTAGTGATTACTAATTAATAATCATAAGTTAAAAACTCTTGAGTTGTAACTAATAAATATACATAAATTAGAAAACTCTTGAATTGTAGTGTGAGTTTCAATTAATGAATGCGGTACTTGGAAAATTTATATTTATTATTATTATTATTATTATTATTATTATTATTATTATTATTATATTCGTCTAAATAATTGGATTTGATGCATCATTTTAATCCTTTCAATTATTAAACATAAAGATATTTAATTATAAATTTATAACATACATAGGTGCATATACATGTTAAACAAATCACATATAATATATATTTTTTCGTAAATGTCATATATAATTCTTGTCGTAGTAATATGGATAAATTACTTTCATATGAAGAACATATCATGATAAGTCTATCATAATTACATATCAAATGTTCAAAATTATGTTATCTTTTAAATATTGTCTTTTAAATATGTTGTGTAGGATAAACCAACAAAAAAATAATAGAAAATAAACATAATCAAAAAGAAAAATTACAATCAAATAAATAAGAGCATTGAGTGGTGTAATATATAAATAAAGATGTTACATAAACGTACATTTAAATCAAAAGAAAAAACTAACATTCGTCAACTTTGCTCAAACAAAAAAACTTATATCCATTTTATGGATCTTCTTTCTTCATTTAACACCATTCAACCATAGAAACTTGATGACAATTCTTCACTAACCTGCAATCAAAATATTTTTCTTGAAAAAGAAGAATCAGAAAGATATTCCAAGCAAAACATTGATGTTTGGAGAGTCACATTCAAGATTGAGTAATACACACAAATCACATATAAAGATTAAATGAGAAACTGAATATATAGAAAGAATAGAAAAGCTTCATTTGTTTTGGTTGAAAGAAAAAACCATATTACAATTACAATCGATGCGACATAACCCATTTCTTCAAATCATCATATTTGGATCGTGAATGCTTCAACTATATGAAAACTTTTGAATCACAATATCTTCAATTCCTTCTTACATGTAAGATTTTATATAACACAAAAGACACAAAAAGTTGGCCTTTTATAGTAAACTTTTCACTAAATGCTAATTAAACATAATATAAGTTATAAAACTATTGAGTGTTAAATCATAATTAAGAAAACTTTTGAGTTGCATTAGTTAAAAAAGGGGGTTTCAAATGAATGTGGTTTGAGGAAGTTAAAAAATGAGGTTTCAAATGAATGTGGTTTGAGGAAGTTAAAAAATGAGGTTTCAAATGCATGAGATTCAAGAAAAAATGCTAGCTTTATAAGTATGTATGACTAGGCGAATCGACGCGCGTTGCGCGTTAATATAACTTATTAATTAAAAAAATAACTTTTAACAAATGGTGATTTAATATTTATAAATTAAAATGAATGTTAGTTGCAACACAAAAACCTATAGTTAACCTATTAGTTTTATTAACTGTAATAAGTTTCTATCATTCGTTATTTATACTATTAATTGATATTTTATAGATTGTTTTATGTTGTGTAAATTGTATATCAAATGTACGTTGATTTTTATATATAACAAATGCAAAGTAGTATGAAAAAAAATACTACAACTTTTGATGATTTTATTGACCGTTTAAGATTATGTAAATTGCATATAAAACATAAGTTGATTTGTATATAAAATAAATAACAAATAGTATTAAAAAAATACTACAACTTTTAATAACATAAAAACACTACAACATCTATTATAACATTTACATCAAATGCAATTTATTAAACACTTATAAATCGTTTAAAATGAATATTTAAAAATCAACATACCTTGATATATAGAACCATTGTTATTAAAAAATGACGTTGCAATAACCATTGATGGAGCATAACTTATTTTTTTCAACTCTTTCATATTTGAATCACAAACCTTTTCAAACATATGATTTTATTTATCAAAACTTACTTATATGCTACTAATATAGCTATAATATGTATAAATAAGTGGAAAATAAAAAGAAACTGCATATTAATAACCATAAGTTAAAAAAAACCTTGTGGAAAATAAAAATGCAATACTAATTATATTAAATTTGAAATCATAACTACATTTTTATTAAAAAAACTCTTGAGATGCAATGGGAGTTTCGAACTCTTGAGTTGTGGAGTTTCGAACTCTTAAGTTGTGTACAATAACGTAATAAGAATATTGACAATTATATGTTATAATAACAATATTATCGGCATTTATCGTTGAAATACTGATTTTTATA